GTCTCGACCATTTCGAGACTCCTCGTCATGTCCGTGATCACATCCGGGACTCCGAACAACCTTCGGTACATCAAAATGCATAAACTCATAATATAACTGTCATCGTAACCTTAAGCGTGCGGACCCTACGGGTTCGAGAACAATGTAGACATGACCGAGATACGTCTCCGGTCAATAACCAATAGCGGGACCTGGATGCCCATATTGGCTCCTACATATTCTACGAAGATCTTTATCGGTCAGACCGCATAACAACATACGTTGTTCCCTTTGTCATCGGTATGTTACTTGCCCGAGATTCGATCGTCGGTATTCCTATACCTAGTTCAATCTCGTTACCGGCAAGTCTCTTTACTCGTTCTGTAATACATCATCCCGCAACTAACTCATTTAGTTGCAATGCTTGCAAGGCTTAAGTGATGTGCATTACGGAGAGGGCCCAGAGATACCTCTCCGACAATCGGAGTGACAAAACCTAATCTCGAAATATGCCAACCCAACATGTACCTTTGGAGACACCTGTAGTACTCCTTTATAATCACCCAGTTACTTTGTGACGTTTGGTAGTACCCAAAGTGTTCCTCCGGTAAACGGGAGTTGCATAATCTCATAGTTATAGAAACATGTATAAGTCATGAAGAAAGCAATAGCAACATACTAAACGATCGGGTGCTAAGCTAATGGAATGGGTCATGTCAATCAGATCATTCTCTTAATGATGTGATCCCGTTAATCAAATAACAACTCATTGTTCATGGTTAGGAAACATAGCCATCTTTGATTAACGAGCTAGTCAAGTAGAGGCATACTAGTGACACTTTGTTTGTCTATGTATTCACACATGTATTATGTTTCCGGTTAATACAATTCTAGCATGAATAATAAACATTTATCATGATCATTAGGAAATAAATAATAACTTTATTATTGCCTCTAGGGCATATTTCCTTCAATACTCCTATATAAGAGATAGAGAAATTGTATCTACGTGGGAAAAGGTTAAACCTAGTGCTTTTCCAAGCACATGGACCATAGAGAAGGATCAGATATCAAAGGCTTAGGGATGGTCTTTTCCTTTTCTCTCCTCTTCTTCTCGATTAATTTCTCTTGTGCCGTCTATCCCGCTTCCCGGTTTTCATCCTCTTTTAAGAAGGAGCTTAAAATGTTAGTGAGGATGCAGCCATCTATAGAGCAATCATATACTTCATCTTTCGAGAAGGAACGAACATAGACAAAAGATACTACATTCATTAACAATGGGGGATCTAGGAAATTGAAGTTACCCGAGGGATGAGGCAGCATTGGACGACAACGTGATTGCGTGATGGCACGCTATTCTCGTATCAATGGGATTTGGGACCGTCAAAGCTACTGGCAATAAATGGGCTCAAGTGATGGACTGGCGGCTGAATTGTTCATTTGGGCCTTACTCAATGGTCCATGTCACCATGTCCTATATATTTTCTTATTCTAGCCCTACTCTTTTTCTTCTTCCTGCTCTACTGAACCTACGAATCGTTATTTCCTCTTACACGATTACTCCTCTAGCCTCCCATGGTGGCTACTACCAAAGCAGTAGGGGTACTCTAACCTAAGTTTCCAAAATTTACCTGGGGCGGACACCCCTACATGACCCCACGTTGGTGCCGCTCTTGACAAGGATAAAATGAATACAGTGGTCATAAAGAGAAGCTCAAAACCACACATGGCAACTTGAATCCAAATATGTGGAGCTATAGGTTCAATTGTCTCCACACTTCATCTATGTGCATTTTTCCATTTGTCCTTGAGTTTGGATCCAAGTTTCTTGGGTAATATGGTTAAAATAACTGCAAATTTGGTTATTTTTTGTATGCATATAAAATTAATTATGTGCAACATTTGTGGAGCAAGTTGCATTTTTGTTGTGAAATACTCCCTCAATCCAGGTTTATTGTATCTCCTAGTATTTTGGTCTAACTTTGACCATATATACAACACAACAATATAATTTGTATTATGAAGAGTATTCCTACTATGTAGTTTTTGTGACATATTAGTTCACATTTATTATCTAAATTTATGGACAAAGTTTGACACTAAATATGAGGGGCCTAATAAACTCGGACGGAGGTAGTATTGCTCAATTTCTGAAAGATATGTGACATAGTTGTGCAACATTTTCAGAATTTGTGAACAAGTGTTGGAGTGATTTAAAATTCCCTTGAAATATCACTAGAATATTTATATATATATTCTAGATTTTTGAGTGAAATGCTAGTGCAGTGGATGTGAAATTCATTTTTCCTTCAATAGTTATGAAATATGCATGAGTTCAATTTATTTGTAACAAGTCATGACTGAAATGCATTTCCAATTGCATTCTAAATTAACTAAACTATGTATAACATCGACACATTTAATCACACATTTGAAAATATTCCTATTTTAATTTACTTCAAAATTTGTGTCTTTTAATTGGAATTTTTAATGATTTTCTAATCATGGATCCCACCAACAATTTAATTATGAACCGGGTAAAAATAATGATTACAATGAAATTCATTTAACGAGGTGCTTTTTAGAGCAAAAATATGTTGAGGAGTCTGAGTTTTTGCTTTTTTAGTTTTTTTAGGTGTTTTTTCTTTTTTAGTTGAATAATTCTTTTTACTTTTTTTGAGACAAATAATTCTTTTTGCTTAACTGGGCTTTAGAATAACCTTGCAGGAGGGTACTGGAGAATGGGCCTAATTGCCAAATGAACCCAAAATCCAACCTGAAACCCTAACGAAGGGCAATCTCTACCCGTAACCGTATAGGCACTTGCCGCCACCAATCTGCTCACCCTCACGCCGCAGCCACCGCCACCGCCACTGCCACCGATCGCAATGGCGTCGCCTCATCCGCTGCCCGGCGACATGCTGTTCCTCCCTCCCCCATCGCAGGCCGCGGCCGCCGCGTGCACGACGCTCTGCTGCTTGTGCGGCGTGCCGATGCCGCCCAACGCGGCCAACACCTGCGCGCCCTGCCTCCGTGCGCGCGTCGACGTCACCGACGGCGCGCCGCGCCACGCCGCCGTGGTGCACTGCCCGTCGTGCTCATCGTACCTGGAGCCCCCGCGGCGCTGGACGCGCGCCGCCCCGGAGTCGGCCGAGCTCTTGCAGCTCCTCCTTCGCCGCGTCCAGCGCCCGATCCAGCGCCTCGGCGTCACCCTCACCGCGGCCGAGTTCGTGTTCACTGAGCCGCACTCCAAGCGCATCAGGCTCCGCCTCCGCCTTCGCCGCGAGGTCCTCCCCGGCCGCGGCCTCGCGCTGGAGCGGGACCACGCCGTCGAGTTCACCGTCCACGACCGCCTCTGCGACCCCTGCGGCCGGGCCCGCGCCGGCCCCGACCAGGACCAGTGGTGCGCCGTCGTGCAGCTGCGGCAGCGCGCGTCGCACCGCCGCACGCTGCTCCACCTCGAGCAGCGGCTGGCCGCCCTCGGCGCGGCCGGCTCGGCGACCCGCGTCGACGTAACCGGCGCCGGCGGGATCGATTTCTTCTTCGCGTCCCGCTCCCACGCTGCCGGCCTTGTCGCCCTCATCGCCTCCCTCGCGCCGGCGCGCGTGGCGGACGCGGCGAGGCAGCTCGTGTCGCATGACACCAAGAGCAACACGTACCGCCACCGGCACGCCTTCTCCGTGGAGCTCTGCCCGGTGTGCCGCGATGACCTCGTCTTCCTTCCGAGGGAGGCGTCGCGCGCGCTCGGCGGGCTCGGGCCGCTCGTGCTCTGTGTCAGGGTCACCGACACGCTGGCCCTCCTCGACGCCTCCACCCACCGCGTTGTCAGCCTCGGCATCAAGGACTACGACCGGCACAGGTTCGAGCCCGCGCTCACCAGCCGCCAGCTCGTGGAGTACGTAGTGCTGGACGTCGACCCCTCGCCGGCCACCGGCGACACCAAGGCCGCCAGGTTCGGGTACCGGACAGCATACATGCAGGTGGCCCGTGCGTCAGAGCTGGGCAGGAGCAAAGCCGTCGTCACCGTGAGGACGCACCTCGGGCACCTCCTGGGCCCCGGTGACCGCGCGCTCGGCTACGACCTTCGTGGCGCCAACGCCAACAACCTGGACGTGGATAGCCACTGCTTGCCGGATGCTGTGCTCGTCAAGAAGATCTACGAGAAGGGCGGCGACGGCGACAGGATGCAGGAGGACGGCGGCAGGAGCGATGACCATGGCGTCGCGTGCATCGACGAGATCGCCATGGGGATTGGCGGCATTGATCTGGACCCGTGCGACGAGGTGGAGCTTGATGAATTGCTCGAGGACCTCAGAATCTGAGAGTACGAGTTGTGAATCTTAAAGGAGGATGGTGACTGCTGGCCTGAAGCTTCAGTGCATCTGATATAGACAATGTTCAATCGGCCTGTCATTAAAACAAAAACATGTTAAGACCCTCCATAAGATGTTCCTTAAGCATTTTGTCAAATCTACGGCGGAAGTCAACAAAGTGAAGTTCAAAAGGACAAAGGTTTTGCAAAGGCACAGAGCAATGATCTTGATTCCAGGGGTAATTCGAACTCTACTATCTGCTTCTGTTTTAGTTCTTTTTTACAGATTTCAAAGCATTTTTTTCTAGGTGATTTCAAAGTATTTGGACTTAATCTGGGCTGCTAATACTCTGCCACCACACGCCAGTTTTCACTATCTAAACCATCAGGCTTCCGTGCATCTACGTCGTCGGCAGTTTTGTCAGAACTTAAACTTTGTATGTCCAAAAGGTTTTTCATTACCAAACACTCAATGTTCGGTACCTGGTCTCTAAATGATTTACACTCAGTCAGACAAGTTAATGTTAAGTACAGAATTCTAGCAAATGCAATTCATTCCATGTCCTCACAGATTTTCTGTTTCTAATTTCTAAGTCAATCAAGCTGCGCAATATCAAAAATCTGATTTTCAGGCTCATTGAAGTTGTCAGAAATAAGATTTTCTTAATCAATGCTCACAGTCACTGAACTTTGTCAGTTGACTCGGAAATACATTCCCTTGGTTAACTAGAACAATGTACAATGGTTTTTCTTGACTACTAAGTGCAGGCTAATTTAAGCAGATGGGGGTGAGACCAACCACCAATTCACATGAACTAGGAGGTCAAAATTTTCATTCTCTAGTTTTCTGTTCATAAACAACACATGAGGACAAGTGCAGCAACGGGCTTACGACAATGAGCAACGGGCTTTCACAAAAATTCAGATATAGGCTGCGCAGAGGCCCGAGGCAATAAAGCTTATTACCTAACCAAATATTCGCTCTGCAACCTCAGCAACAACACCAGTATAACCGTATAGTTAATGGTAACTACACCAGCAACGGCCTTAGGCTGTTCCATTCTCTCGGGATTGTCCAGACGAATTCCCCTGGGATTCTCCAGACGAACTGTATGACCAAAGTGCTGTAGCCTTTGCGGGAGTTGTCCCAGCTGAGACCTCTGCTTTAACTTCAAAGTATGACGACCACTTCTTTTCCACAGCTTTGTCATCAAGTTCCTGGATGAAAGCCTTCCTTGTTATGATTGGTGCTTGGGGCACACCAGCGTCAATCTGGGAAGGCTGAAAAGATCACAGATATTGTAAGGTTATCAAATAATTTAGACCTTGAGAGAACAGGAAAACATTAAATTCAGAAATAAATTCATGTCTGTGTTGCAATTCTAATCCTTCTTATTGACATGCGGGTTTTTCTTCTTTCACACGAGAGATGTTAGACCTAGCTCGAGCTCACGTGAGAACATGAAGAACACTCGAGAGAGCCAATGATTTTTGTGCTGCGTTCAACTTGCAGCTTTTCTGCTTCTTCTCTCCTTTTTATTCAGTGTTTACAACGCTAACTGAAAATGGAAATACATGCCGTGTCTGAGCTGCGAGCACCGCCATCCCAACGCTCCTCGCACGCCTCCCGCGATCAGGTCAGAGCGACGAACTAGCCTAACAAACTAGACCGGGTTGCAGCTCGGTTTATTCTCTGGCAAGGTTTTAACTGAAGAAAAATAGACTGACGAAACTGACAGAAACAACACCTAAATTCTGACGAAACTGAATTTTCTATGAACCTGAAGACAGCAGCTGTTAACTGAGGGAGGGAGGGAGGGAGGGAGAGAGCAGCAGAAGCAGCAACCACTGGAAAATTAAACCACTAGTTACCCCAGAAATAAATTGCCGAAAGAATTTCAGAAAACAAATACTTGATGTATCAGCACGACAGCACAGTAGAAACTCTGTGGAGTTTGCATACTCCAAAGTAAAAGAGGTAAATCATACTGTTTTCTCGAATGTTGATGAAATTTTGCAGAAACAAAAGCCCATTTATATTTAGCTCGTGAAACGAAATTTGGGGAATAGATTTGAGATTGTTCAGATCTTAAGGCAAGTTAGCTCGCAATACCATGTCAGGTTTATTTTTTCGATAAAGGGCATCTTTTTATTAACTCATAGTGGAGTATCAAGGACAATGTCAGGTGTATGATACATTACTTCATTGGGGTCGCTAGAACTGAATTTAGCAGCACAAATGTTTGAAACCATAACGGAATCTGACACCTGCTCACTGACACCAAGCAAGATGATGCCAAGGGTGAACATCTTGGCGCCAACGATTGACTTAGCAATGCATATTCAGTAGCTCACGGCAATGCGAGGGTTTAACGCGATGGTCACTAGTGCTGAGTTAGCCACCCAGGGCATGGTGGTGTGTGACTCCCAACGGGTAAGTGTGAGATTCGGTCAAAGTTTCAACACTGGTCCACTTTTGAAGAAGTGGCAAAAAGGATCAGAATGTAAATTAAAACAAATTGATGGGGATTGGAAGCTTACCGGAGAAGCACTGGCTCCAACTGTGAAAAACTTTGGGCCGGTACTCTGCAAAGAGGCCACAACTATTAGTTGATCATAAAATCCAAAATTTGATGTTACAGTGTGCATCGTAATAATCCGTAAAATGAATGTACATTACCGCAATTGTTACTAGCCCGTTCAGATATAAGTACAATCTTGCAACCAAAGCAATCTGAAAAAGATTACATAAAGTGTTTTAACACAAAACGAACAGGCTAAAAGGTGTATCTGAGTATACATAAAGTGTTCTTGTCATAGAAAAGGTGAAGTTTTAGGTTATGCTGGAAATGATATTGGGCAGCGTTGAAACATGGTAGCGACAAGTCTTACCTTGTTCCCAAGTGGTGGCTGCAGAGATATACTAGTTGGTAGATAGACAAGCGTAAAATTTGTAGCTATTGCCTTAACCTGGGTATTACAAGAAGCAACTGAATTAGATTATGTTACAGATGATTTTGGAGTACAATAGTTAAACAGAAATCATTTAATATCAGCTCATCAATTACTTCAGTCAGTGAAACGCTGTGCCGAAGCTAGGCAATCAAAACCAGATTTTTTATTGCCCACAGCAGCAGGGGAGTGCAAGTGGAAGGTTTCAGAGTTACAGGGGAACCAGAGGTAGGGGATCCAGGACAGCATGCCCCTCGCTCGTGAGCTTTGAACCAGATAAATTAGCGGAATACACTTGAGATATTCAAAAAATATCATCACATTGCAGGATTCAAGCTTGCATGATTTCGACTGGAAGTTTGTGTTGCTGCTGCTTGGATCCTAGTTGAGGAATTTTCAACTTATGTGGTAATTTATGTACTAGAGTATTAATGGAGCAAGAGCAGAAACTATACTCATCACAGGATGACACTGGAACACTTGGGGGGAGACATACAGTGCTCTTGGGATCCTATTTCTTTGTGTTAGAATTTAGAAAGATTACCGCACTCGCTGACAATCATTATCATGTAAAAACAAATCTGATTTTCTGATAAAGCTAACACTGAATAATGGATGGTCAGATAAAGACTATTTGACACCCATACTCTGTTCCTCAGCTTATTTGGCAAGGGTGCAGATATGTTTAAACTGTAGGTAAATCAGATAAAGATTACTGCACCCACTGACAATCATTATCATGTACTGAATCAGTAGCAAGTCTAAAGTAGAACAAGAAGCATACCGCATCAGCGATGACGATGTCAATCTCTTTGATAAAATTCTCCCCTCTCTTTTCATACTCTGCTGCAGTCTAAGCAAACAAAAGCAGCAGCAGAGGAAGAAAACATCAGATTGGCAGCCAATCCAATTTCACAGTTAACACAAACACTTGATTTCATTCTTGTGAAAACTAAAACGAGACCCTCCATCCCCGCAGACCTTTGCTATTGCGTTGAAGCTGATTGCCGCGGCGGTCCTGACGGGGAAAACGTCGTCCGTGAGGAGGCTCTCGAAGCACAGCAGCTGCGGGGCCTCCACCGCCGCCACCAGGTCGGCCCTCCACCAATCCTGTGGCCGCGCGAACAGCGCCGCCCCGCGGTTGCCGTCGGAGCCATCTCCGTTGCCGCCGCCGTCGGAGCCATCTCCGTTGCCGCCGCCTTCGGAGTCATCTCCGCCGCCGCCGCCGCCGCCATTGTTACAACCGTTTCCGTCGCCGGCGGAGGGGAGGGCGTGGGATCGACGGCCAGCTGCGCAGGTGACGCGGGTGCTGGTACGGTTCTTAGAGCGAAGGGAGGTGCAGGCCGAAGGGTGGTGGTGAGAGCGGGGGAAAAAGGCGTTGGGGAGGATCTTGACAGCGGAGGAGGAGGGCGGCACGGCGGAGGCCATGGCTGCGGAGAGTGAACCGAGCTAGGTGTCCGGGTAAGCGCCGCCGCTCCTGGTTCGTGGTGGGGTGGATGGATGCCGAGAGGGAGCATGTTGCTGTCTGAATGTGCAGAGTCAAAGTCAGAGAATGATCCGATCAGTGACGACCGCCATTTTTCGGGCGCTACTACGCGTCGGCCGACCGGCCAGGATTTGGGGCGGTTCCCTCCCCACCGCATGATACAGTACCTTTTGACCGTGCGATCCAGCCATTCACCGTTTCCTTTTTTTTTTGTCTAGCACGCCTAGGTTCATGAACCATCACGCGCTTTGTTCCTTGCGCACAGCATGCGCTCCTGCCCCCACGCATCATCCTTGTTGCCCCTGCTTGCAGCGAGCAGCTCGCCGTCTCCCGCACATGGCCGCCATAGTTGTAGCTATTTCAGTTGCCGGTCATAGCAAACGCCGCCGACGGTTGCGGCAAAAAAGTCGTCGTCGCTGGTTGTAGCTCGTTGTGCAGGTTGCAACACTTCGCGTCGCTGGTCATAGCAAACACGAAAGATGGTAGCAGCAAAAGTCGTCATTGTCTTTGTAAAATCGAGAATTTTAACAATTTTATAATTATGGACTCCACCAAAATTTAATCATGAAGCA